CACCCTGTGCCAGTGCCTCACCACCCTCAGGAACTTCATCCTAACGTCTAACCCAAGTCTGCCCTTCTCTGGTTTAAAACTATTGCCGCTTGTCCTATCACCACCACACACCCTTGTAAACAGCCCCTCCTCAGCTTTCCTGGAGCCCTCTCAGGCACTGGCAGGCTGCTATAAGTTTTCCCCAGAGCCTTCTCTTCTCCAGGCTGAACAACCTCAGCTCCCTAAGGCTGTCCTTGTAGGAACAGTGCTGCAGCCTTCTGATGATCTTTGTGGCCCTCTTCTGGTCCAACAGGTCCGTGTCCTTCTTGTGTTCAGGGCTATTCCTGTGATGGAGCAGCACTGGTTTTGTCCCTTGCACCTGACCTGACATGCTCTCACTGCCTGCAGGTTTTGTTTTGTCTTTAATCCCCAGAGGGCTTGCTTTTATTTGATGATGCTCCTTCTTTTGCTCCTCATTTTGAACACTTTGCAGCTGAATTTTTCCCTCTCAGTTAGAAAAGTGGCCAAAATGGAAAAGGTCTCCACCAGCACATCCCTCAGTGGTACTGGGAGAGAGAGAAGGGAGCAGTTTCTGCATCTTCTTGCCAGTGGTGGGCTCCTCTAACCTTGTGTTTCTGTTTTTCTCCTGAAGAAAGAGAAATCCAAATCGAGTGGCAGCACTGCCCGAGAGCCCAATGGCTTACCTCTGCCAACTCCTCTCTCCTCCTGGAGTTCCAAGGTGAGTCTGGCTGAGCCCCCTTTAAGCTGGGGAAAGACACTATGGCCTTGTAGAAGCTGGGATGTTCTGGCTTATAAATATTACATATATTGGGAAGCTCAGCGCACATCTTCAGTGTAGGGTTGTGCTGATCCACTTCTCAACTGTCCTGAAACCATTAGGTTTTGTTGTCAGCAAGAATCATAATCATTTGCTTCTGGCATCTTTCTCTGGGAAGCTTTGTGGGGAACTGGAAGAGTGGGGGTTCCCCTTCCCACGCTGCAGTTCCTACTGGGGAGAGGCCAGTAGCTGCCAGCGGCTGAGCCTCCTGTTTCCAGCTGAGCCTTCTGTGTCTTAAGATCTTGTATAGACCTTAGGATGAAAGGGCAGAGGCTCTCCTTGACTTTGCTCTTGATCTCGGAGCGCTGCAGTTGCCACGAGCAGGCTGGGCTCTGTAGTGGAGCTGAGCAAGGCCCCGGCAGCACACGGACTCACTGTTGGAGCAGAGCACGTGCCTGTCCCCAGGCTCTCCGCTCACCTCTCAGGGCAGCCAAGGAAAACGGGGGAGTGTGCTGGCCCTTCCCATAGGTGCAGGTCTGTGGTCTGGGACTGCTTTACCTGGAAAAGATGTGTGCCAGGCGCTGAGCGTTGTTCCTGGTGTTGGATTGCTGCCTCCCAAACAGAAGAGGTGCAGAACCCTGGGACACAGGCGAGAGGTCTCCTGCCCTCGATGCCTGGGCCCTGTCAAACTGCAGATGTGAGGTTTCGCGGCGATTTGTATCACTCCAGTGCCTTCTGCTGCTTATTTCTGAATAGCCCAGGGTTGCTTTCTGTCCACTCAGACTCATACCCTGGGCAGAAGCACTCCCTTTCCCGTGGGCAAGTTTTGTACCTGATGCCAGCCGTGTCCCGGCAGGGAGTCCTGCTCCCTGCACCCCTTGCACTGACAGATGACAGTGAATCCTCCGTCCTCTGACTGCCTCTGACTGTGCTCTTCCTCCTCCCCAAGACCCTGGCTCTCAGTGCCGCCCTCGGCTGCCTGGGCCCCTGGGTCAAGGTGCTCTTCTTCACTAGGTGCTGTTTCTGCAGATGAGAACAGCAACCAGAGCTCCCTGTCAGACGTCTACCAGCTCAAGGTGGACAGCAGCCCCAACTCCAGCCCTAGTCCCCAGCAGAGCGAGTCCATGAGTCCTGCCCACACGTCCGACTTCCGCACGGACGACTCGCAGCCACCCACGCTGGGGCAGGAGACGCTGGAAGGTGGGTGCTGGGCTGGGGAGGGAGGAGAGAGATGGCTGGGCCTGGGGAAGGACCTGCTGGAGCTGTTGCTTGTCTGGTGGGTGACCGAGGCACTGCTGGAAGCAGACAGGGCGGCAGAGACTCGCATCTTCTGCTGGAGGTCTCCTCTCCTGGCTTTGCAGTGAGCTGGGTCCCGGGCTGGCAGTTTCGTTAACCTTTCTGTTCTCCCCAGAGCCCTCCCTGCCTTCCTCGGAAGTTGCAGACGAGCCTCCAACTCTCACAAAGGAAGAGCCAGTCCCCCTTGAGACTCAGGTAAGGGAAACGGGATCCAAATCCTGTCTGTAAACACGCACGGACCCAGCTCGGCCCTTTCCCCATCATTGCTGCCCCTTGCAACAGAAACATCTTGACGGATGGACTTGCTCTGCAGTCCAAAGTCCTCCAGGAACTCATCAAACCTCACGTTTTCCCGACCTGTCCCCTGGTTCAGTTCAGGTGTTAAAAGTATGACGAAAGGATGTGGAGATGGGGTAAAATGACTCTAGCGGAGTCCGGAGCTGGATTCTTGCTCCCACTGCCCGTTCCTCACAGATGAAACCCTGGGGTGTCCCCACAGCGTGATGCAGCTT